TCAATACCATCGAAATTCAAGCTTTTCCATTCCTCTTATTCTCGTCGATGAGAAATCCTTTCCTGACGTCATAGTCAGCATCCAGCCAATCATGACCGGCCGACCACAGTGACGCTTTCGATCGCGCACATCACCAATAGGCTATTGCACACTACAAGCACACGAACGCGCGACCCGAAACCCTTTTAAAAACCTTTTGAAAACCAGCCGAAGAACTATGCTAACTTTATGACAACTGCACTTTATTTTAAATTGTGTGAGGCAGATACAGCACATTCTAATCAATACAAAATGTCGCATAGACACCTCTCGACTCCACATCAACAAGAATATACCGAGTGTTTCAGCGAACGCTTTAAAAAATTCCTTAAATTAGGAAGGATGAGAAAAAAGAAACTCTTTCCATGTACAATCTGCCCGCCACGCGGACGTCAAGGAGTGCACAAGAAAAAGAACAATAATTAGCTGAACAATTACCTTAATTTTACTAATCATTTTAATTAGTCAAAATAAACGTATGGTTCGAATGAGAAAATTGCTTATCATTATAGAAAACCACTAAATCAGCTCATCTTAGAAATATATAAGCCAGGGCCAGCATTGGTACGGCGTCCCGAAAAAACTCTCAACGTGGGCGCGTTTCTACGTTTCGATTTCTTATCGGAGCGCATATTTGCGCCCGCGGTCCTGCTCCCCAGTGGTCCAGACACGCAACACGCGTGCGCCATACTTCCCTCCATCCCACGTTCTCCATCCTACCAGAGAGGCGGAGCGGTGGCTTCGCGCCTGGGCCACCGGGGAGCAGGACCGCGAGCGCAAAGATACCTTCTAATGAGAAACAGAAACCTAGAAACGCGTCCAAATGGAGAGTTTCTACGGGACGCTGCAACATACGGCCCCTGCCTTATGTATTTCTAAAATTAGTCGATTTAATGGTTTTTGACTATGCTTAGCTAGTTTCGCATTGAAACCATATGTTTATTTTCACTACTTAAAAAAGTTAATTTGCAGATATTAGGTTTAGATAATTAGTATGCTTTTTTTTCAATCGTGAACGTCCGCCGTGACTATCAAGTTGTTCCCGGAAAGAGTTTTTTTCTTAGCAACCCTATACGTAAGGATCATTTTTAAAGCGTTCCTTGAAACACCCGGTATACTGGATAGTTATTCGCAAGAACAGTTGCAACACTCGCGCAGGCCTCTTTTTCTTCATAAGGCTGCAACCGAGGTTAATGTCTTACTCCAATCCAAACGAGCCGCGCCATTATAACTATCCGGATCGCTATCTCTCGCTCCAAATCACGACTTATCCTCGAGGAAACGAGGCACAGCAAAGCGCCCGACTTGTAGCACCCATACCAAAGCACCTCTCGCCGAAGACGCTACCAGTGACACGCCGCACCCAGAAGAAACAAACCTCTCCCCGCCGATTAGGCACTTCCAATTCGAGACGCGAAAGCCGACGATAAAACACATTGCCGTCTAATGACAGGCTGACATGTCATTCCAGAGTGGGCTGGGCACCCACTCCAAATTACGAATCAGACTGCCGAAGAAGAAAAAAAAAACATCCAAGAAACAAAACGTTTGGACACAATCATCGAGCACCCCATGGCCTAAAGCCATACGAAGTTAGGTACACAGTCTTTTGACGTGTGTATATTTATACCGCCAAAGGCAAGGCATATTTCACGCACATGCACAAACTGTACGCAGCAGCGCGTGGGCCTTCATTTATTTAGATGCGAATATACTGGGTATATATCGTCGGTGTTTACGGTGATTTATGACGACTTGAGCCGTCTCGTGGTGATTTGTTTTCTTAGTGTTAGAGCTGTACGTTTGCAATCGTGGGCTTTAAGTCGGCGGACAGTTTGAGTGCAACTTTGCCACCGAAATTGAGATGGATGATAATTGGTGTTGCGTCATCCCGCGGCTCATTTGTACTTGCTCTTAATGGTTGGGTATCTGTGTGTGTACAGTCGTGACCACGGTTAATTGCAACATGTCACTGAGGTTGAATCGGTAAGGTGCGGCCAGTTCATGCCGGAACGAAAAGCGCCGTAAAAAATACATGTCATCTCGTTCCGGTATTCGCTTGCGCGGCTAACGGATGTTCATCAGGTAAAGCGACAGAAGAAAAAAAAATGCTGAACCGAAAAGTAATATCGATTTGGCTTAATCACTGTTCAAAGTTGCCTTTGGTCTGATCATTGTGCCTGTGTGGAAAAAAGGCCCTGGGACAAAACTAAGAACCATATTCGACGTTGGCGTTTAGACAGCGCAAGGACGTCTGCCTTCGAGGTGCAGCGACACCGGCTTACGCTGTAGATGAGAAATTTAGCCACTGCAGTACGCCTACTAGCCCGGGGTCTTTAAGGTGAGTCACGCAATATGCGACCGTGTGCCGGTACGATGGTCATACAGATTGAAGCGGTCAGGGGTGGTGATTGAACCCAGGCTACCTGGATTCTGCAGCGCTCCGCGTACTCTGAGATGCGGTGCTCTAACACACACAGCCACCGATCCTTCCAGGTCCTGGTAAGAAGTATGACACGTATCATGCTCCAGTGCAGAATCATCGGAGAATATACCACTCATTCTTCTCACTGGATACGTTGATCAAAAGATTACAGAATATAGGTATTTTGACCGCATACATGTTAACAACCTAGCATTTCTGAGGGCGTAGCAATCACGGGGCAAATGTCCATCAGCACGCCAAAGGTCCCTTTATGGCTTTGCGATTTCATGTTGCCTCAGAAGGCGCTTGCAGGACCGCTGCTCAATTCTTCTTGTAATAATACTGTGCTAGCTCCCTTATATAGAAAGAACCATAGATGCTGGGCGTAAACATTACCGCGTATAGGGTTTGTCTGCAGCTCCAGTCAAGTCCACGGCATAAAAAAAAAATATATGTTGGTGTTCGTGTTTATACAGCGGAATGGGTCAGCCTTTAAGTGGACCGACACTGGTTTACACTTTAGATGAGAAATTTAGCCAGTGCAGTACGACTGCTAGCCTGGTGTGTTTAACATGGGTCACGCAGTAGTGATTCACGGCCGCACACCGGTACGATTCTCATCTTCCCTGGGTTCTGCAGCGCGAGCTTTCGATCCACGCGTTCCGAACTTGTGTGCGCTAGCACACTTGGCCACCCATCCCCCATCCCGCGGCTTCAAATGTGACATATAGACCAGTGTCTGCTATGTTCCATGAGCGCCACCATGTTTGTCTATGCTTACGCCATGACACAGTAGGAGGGACTGCGCGTTTTGCACGACACCGTTGTGTTGGAAACCTTCGTACATATCGTAGTGCAAAAACGTAAGAAATGCATAGTCACGAAGCTTCAAGAGCACGGATGCCTAGAGTGCTGCAAGACACAAAAAGCTTGTTTTATGTACAGCCCCTTTCTTTAGAAGAACCTGCGTTTGAGATTAATATTTTCCTGTTTATCGCTGGGGGCTAGGTTGTACGTTGGACATTGGTCTATAAAGCAGGGTGCCCCAACTGGTGCCCCGACTGGTGCCCCATGCGCGCAAGCATGTGCAGCGTGAGCGTGAACGTAGTAGGAGCAATCTTCTAAATGCACGCACTTGCCAGCACGAGCAGAGATACGGCGGCAGCCGGATGTTCTGCTTGCAATGGTCTATAGACAGTGACAGGTTATGAGATTAAGGAAAGCCTCCCCCCCCCCCCCCCGCCCCCCACCTTTTCCCACTTGCGCAGGGCAAAAGTTGGAGAGAAAGCGACCGCCACTCCAGCGTTCGCTCTGCTAAAGTGAGAACAGAAGGAGCTTCCGATGAACACTTAGCAAGTCACTGACTACATTTCGCTGAGGGTCGGGTAAAACCACTTACCCCGTAGCAGTCTGGTTGCACCAGATAAAGTTCTCATTTACAGCGCGAGATCCAGCATACACGTTCTAAGGAGTCGAACAGATTATCTCAATCTTTGCAAAATCCAGCTTTTGCGTGTGAAAATCTGAACCTACCTTTCGCCGCGAATAGTTCCGGATGCCACGGGGCAAAGTGAAACAACGCTTTTATGTCACCTTCAAGGGCCCGCGCAACAGTATTTGGAAAGAGTGTTTCTCACTTTACATTAAGCGTGCTGGCACTGGTGAGGCCCAAGTATACTCGCACGCAACGTGACTGATCTTCAGACTTTCGTCATCACGCTTTGCGATCCCCTAGGTGACGATATTTAAATACGGCTGAAACAGTGGGCACGAGCGGTGCGAGAGGATTCGATTGGGGCTAGTGGCGACCAATCCTTCGATATGCATTAAGGTTTCGCATCGTATCGCACGGTCGACGTGCAGTAAGGCTCGTGCTCAATTCGTACCGGCGCAAGGTAAATGCGCATTAAGCTTCAATGACGAAAATGGCCGAACCTTAACAACGTGTGAAGCTCAACGCGTGCCTCGCGCATTGCCGACCATAGAACGTAGACATGATAAATATTGGCAGCATATAATCGAATCCAGATCACGGGGCCGCTTGTTCTTGCTGAGAATTGAAGCGGCGAACACTCTTAGATTTTCTGGATTTTTTTCTGCGACTCCCCCATTGCGTGAAGAAAACAATAGACCGATCTCACCAGCTAGTTTGAGTACGCCACCACTGCCGACATGCATCGTGGGAGCTGTAGTCTTTCTGCACGCGCGACAACCCTGCTGGAGGTCTGCGTGAGCAGAGCACGAGGCGGCATGAGCTGTCGCGTGAACTGGCATCTGCCTCCTACGAACTACAGTTATGGTGGCGTCACGCATGCGTGGAACGCTTGGTGAGATCGGTCTATTAGCGCGTGTCTGGCAGGTTATGAATGCCAAGGAATACTTCTAAGCAGTATCGTCTGAAGGTACAAAGATTGTTGCATGGCCCTTTTAACTTAGAGCACGATTAAAGCTACTGATGCGAGGTTAGAGCTCCAGAGAGCGTTGGTCCTGCATTTTAGCTCGTGCTGTATAGCATGCAAAAGAACTAGTGAACAACTGGTGGGTGGGACTGCTTCATTCCTTCGTGTACAACACATTGGCAGCGGAGACGATTGACATGACATAATTGGCGGTGACGAACGCCACCGGTTGGCGACAGCCGAAGAGGATTCAGGCCCTTTGGCCGTCGAGCGCTCTGCGCACCGCCGCCACCCTCAGGAACGGGGTTCCCCGGTTGCAGGTGCCGGAGTAGTCGTCCAAGTCGGCGCGGTACAGGGAGATGCAAGTCTTGGGACTCAGTTGCTGCACTTTCCTCACCTGGGAGCGGACAGGCTTCAGGTTAAGACCTCTTCACTAGTCAAGATGAGTGTCGACTTTGACCCCCAAAGGGATGAAAGTCACTCCCAAATTTAGTATGTTACATACCACTAATGAATGAATGAATAAATGAATGAATGATTCAATGATTATTTTGGCTATCTTGTTTGGGAAAGGTGAAAAAAGGCAGCCTAAGCCGCCTGAAGAAGCTCTACCCCCCTTTAAAGCGCTGCAACAGTCGCAGCGCACAATAATATATGTGAATGATTATCTTGAATGTATGCGTTATTTTTTATGTACGCGACCGAATATTAAGTGTGATGACCCAATAATCGCACAAACTCTAAACGAAAACAAAGAGAAACACAACATATGTTTAACTATCTACAAATCATTAATCGGTTTCTCAAATGTAGGTTTTTTTCGTTGTTTTTTATGTCCGCATAGAATGACAGCCTTTCATCATGTCCAATATTTTTTAACATTGATTTACGAGTTCGTGTCTAATAAAAACTTGATAGACCATTTCAGGAATGCACTAGTGACTGAAATATCAGTCTAAATATTTGTATGTTATGGAGGTTAAACTCTAGCACCTATTCATCAACGGCAGACGTACGAAAGTTTCGGTGTTCTTTGCTGTACGGTTATTTCTCTATTTATTTTAGTTTCGATGGTGTAAAGAAACCACCAGTTTGTAAGAGGCGCTTACTGGAGTCAAACTTTTGATAAAATTCACCCCCAAGCTTTAAGGGTGGTTAACACAGCACCGTTTTTTTTTTTTGTCACGTAGAAGTCACCGAAGCATTCGTGTCTCGAATGTCGCGTGCCAGGCCATCTTCTTCAACGGGTGGTCACGCTTAAGATGAAGCACAGATGTCCCGGTTACTTGAGGCGTAAGGAGATGTAAGCTTTCGTAACCTAACCCAACGTAAGAGAACGGGGCTGCGTGAACTTGCCTTTATTTTTGTGAATGTTTCCGCAGCGTGCCGAAGCCAAGGTTTTCAAGGATTTGCATCACGTCCTCCAATGCGCATCATAAAATCTTACAATTCTCATCGCGCTTACATTGGACAGCATGGAACAACAATACTGCGAACTAGCGTCTGGAATGTACAGGCTCCGCATCGGTGCCTGTCTTCAAATTCATCCTTCATCAGCCATCAAATGGCCGTCATTAGCATGTACAGGTCAACGTTACCATACTCCACCCTTAAGCTGAAACTAGAAGCTCCACCTTCAGCGCGAACTTATGCTGGTGCTAACACAAGCGTGGGCGGGCAGTCACGCGCAACCAAAGCATTCCGGAAGCCAGCGAGCTCGCGCTGAAGGCGGAGCTTTTAGTCTCAGCTTAAAGGTTGAATGGAGTATAGACCACGGCGTTAGATAAATTTTTTAGGTGAGGACACAGCGGGGCTGAATGCGCGGCGCGAGGAATCAGATAGCGTTCGTTCGATGGGCATCCGCAAGGCTACATCATTCCGCGGCCACCCTGCCCGCGGCTGACAGTAGAGAGTTTTAGTAGATCCTGTTTTGAGACCACGCTATCTGTAGCGGGAGCTCGCGCTGCCACTTCGATGCATGCTTTGTAGCGCGCGCCCGTACCGGTAGCGGGCCTTTGAATACGATCTACTAAAACTCCCTAGTGTCGCCGGCGGCCAAACGGCGAAACTGTGTGAGAGCGAAAACTATTACCTCGTTGCCATGACACCCCGGTACACCGTGGTCTTTCTGCACGTGCGACAACCTCGCTGGAGCTCTGCGCGTGTGGAGCATGAGGCGGCACGAGCCGTCTTGTGCGCTGCAGCCTGCCTCCTGCGTCTTACACCGTGCCCATTCACGTGCCCACAGGTCGACGACTCATCTGCCGGAGCCGCTAGTGAAAAGCGAACTTTATCGGCACGTCGCGAGAAGCGCGCTGTCCTCACCTGGAGAGTATTATCTTACACCGTGGTATAGACCAATGTCAGCGGGAAAGCTTCTTATTTTTAATAGAACGCCTGGCGAATTTCCTCGGCGCGTACCCTCGGTGGCGTTCGCTGCCATATCTGCCCACCATATATGTACATAAGCGGCGGAACCGGTGTAGCCTCGGATGCCCATTGGTTGCGGTGGAATGAAATTCTGTTATGGGTTTACTGGAAACAACCAAGCGCAAAAGTTTGCCTAAAAAAAAGTGTCGTTCGGAAGCGGTTTTTTTCAGTTGCCAATGGTGGCGCTGTCGTTGGTGGCGCAAGGAACACTATCCGCTCGCACCTGCTCGCGTGCAGGAAACAGAGAACAACAGTTTTCGAACGCCGCTCTTTCGTGGAGCTTGTCAGCTGATAGATCTAAGAAAGTTGGTAAAGATGGCATACACTTGGATGACGGAGTTATTGAAGGGGCCAGACTGAATTTCGGATAGGATCTATTGTTGCGACATTATTGGTTCCTATATGAAGAAAAGTTCCTCTCCAATCGTGAGAACGGGCATCGTAATTGATTAGCCAAAGAGGTAAATCCTCGTTTTAGTGAAGCTCTATGAAAGGTGGCAAAACCACTCCTCAAAAGGGAAGAAAAGGTCGTCTAATATAAAAATAATTTAAAAGGACTACAGAAAAAAAAAAGAGGGACTAAAGTCAGTTTTTGCCCCTTCGGGGATTCACTATTGGGGCACTGAATTAATCCCCCGAAATGTTATCCTCCTTTACGATAGCGAAAGAGGGACATGAAAAACAAACAGACGACACAGTCTGTGTCGTCTCTTCGTTCTCCTAGCTCCTCTTCCGTTGTTGTAATTGAGACGCCAACACGCTCAACCATCCAATATATACACCCCTTTTTAAGAGCGTATGTGAGGACGCTTTCATGCAGCTGAGCGCGGATGCAACCCTAACTAGCCTTCATTGTTTTTTGTTTTTTTTTTCTCCTGGCAGCATAAAATCATTTTTACGCGTATGACCCCAAAAGAAGTTTCTTTTTACACAAGACGCTTTCCTTGCCATCCTCCGTGTGTGTTCTTAAAAACAGTTAATTTGACTTGGCATGTCAATACGACACGCAATCTAGTGGCGAGAGAATTTTGAAGAGCCATAACAGCTGTTAGCTCTTGTTGACCTTTTTCACCCTCCGTCGCATGGGCGCTGCCATCTTGGAATCACGTGACACTGCTGCCTTCAAATCGCCGCTCCTCTCTCCCCTCAGCGCCCATGTGCAAACGTTGTATCCGTGTTTTTCGTCTCGTTTTACCGCGCTTTTTTGCCCTGCTTTGTGAAGTGTAGTTTGATACTTATTTTCGCTGCCAAACTAATTGTGTGTACAACTCCTGCACTTGATTTTATAGCACGTTTTGACTATTTGCACCGTCAGGGTACCGGATACGAGTGAGGAAAGGGATCAGCCTTAGCACTGGCGCACATTGAGTATGTAAATGACTCTAAAACACACGAGGGTTGCGAGGTCAAACATTTTTGATAGCGCGAATTCGCTTAAGTGATGGTGGCTAAGTGATAGTGGCGCAATAAGAACCGCAACGTATATTTGGGATCACGCATTTATGATCTTAAAAAAGAAGGCAAATGCAGTCAACGCAAGGAGTGTGTTTCTTGAAAGCACCGTGCTCTGCCTTCCTAAAATATCCCCAAAAGTTGCTTTAGATTAGGGGGACTTCTTATGCACTATAAACATTCGCTCGATCTGCTTATTTATGAATTTAAAGAAACTATACACTGTGCTCGGTCTCATGTCTGCAGTCTTCCAATTTTTTTAAGATATTCAATTCGATTAATTTACTTAGACACAAAGGGTGGGACTTTCCGGGTAAAATATATGTCAAAGACCGCTTGTGAGTGCCTGAAAAAAGCGCCCGAGGTACGCAATATGTGACGCCCAAAAAAAGCCGTCTGAGTGGAAATCACTCGAGTGCAGCTTTGTCGATGCCGGATTTACTCTCCACGTCGTTGAATGTAAAAAGGTGTATCTGTTCAAACAAACAAAGATCCGTCTAAACAAATCCATGAGGTGGTGCCTTGCACATACTTGAGCCAAACTTGCTGGAAGGCAATTATCCTGCGCCACTTAATATTATTCCTCAATGTATACGGAAGACAGACGTCAGACTTGAATTGACGGGTTCGTCCCTTACCTAACATTATCAATACGTTGTAAGGAAATGTCCGTATAACAAATAGTTTCTCAATGTCAACATTGCGAAATGCTGTTTATGAACACTTCAGCAGGGCTGACAGTTGATAAAATGTCCGGTTCGGCTTAGGAAGCACCATCGAAACATCCCTCGGATACTTAATTTCTTTAAAGAGACCGATGGAAACAATACTAAACAGTGAGCACTAAACTTGAAGGCTCATCTGTTCTGCGCAATTCACCACACTGTTAGTCAGGACGTCGACCTGCTTTTTCACCGACTCTATCCATTAGTCTCGTCATTAGTTTATTTTTGTGAAAACTAGTATCAGCAGATACGTCCAGTACGGCCGTAGACATCGCTAAACCTCCCCCGGTGCCATTTCAATACTTTTACCGCCGAAGCTGGCCGACCGAGGATCATGATCAGACGAAGCTGTTCGCTAAAACGTCCACAGTTTAAGCTCGTAACTACTTCGTCGTTCTCAAGGTGGCTCATCACCGCTGTATTATTAATTATGTACCACAAGGGGTACATTTCTACCACAAAACTAAGCGAAAACGACGTATCACACAAACACAACCGCGAGCACGCTGAAACGGAAACCAACCAAATTGAAGCCACGTCATTGTGCCGCGTGTCTCAGCGGCCCCTGTCCACCGGGCAGGTAACTACTGAGATGAAAAGGTCTATAAAAAAATCTGAGAGTGCTAGGTAATGCCTACTTCCTCCAGTTATCTTAATCGGGGCCATTCGCCTCGAATGCCATAGTCAGTAAAACGACGCACAGTGGGCCCTCTATTCATTTATTGTTTCCTTTCAGCCATCTTCCGATTCCCTCGTGCCTGCTCATGCTTCACATCAAAAATCAAGCGCCCGCACCATAAAATATATATAACACCAGTGCAAGGTTAGGGGCACGCACTCCTAAACTCCATTTCACATTAAATCTGGCCGCATTCAACTCTGTCATCCGATAGAGCCAATGGAGCAGTCAAGAGTACACCGTCATGACGTTCATCGTCTTTGCCTGCTAGCTATCCCCGGTTAAACGTATCAGACACAGTGAATGATGATTCTGCGTCTGCGTTTTTCTTTGTGTGCGTGTGTGTGTGTGTGAGAGAGATTCGTTGAGCTGGTAATGGTAAACGCGCAAAAACTACGAGCGCCACGATAATTCACTTTTTGGCGCGGCTTGACTTCATCCATCGGGTTCTCTGTCGGTTGCGGTCGGGCCTAATGTGAATGGAAGTATAGTTCTGGAAGCTTAGTCCACCCGCCGTTCTAGTTTGTATACTGCCGAATAAAAGCAGCTTCGCGTCTCTGAACTCTCACGCTAGCAGGCGTTGCTCTTTACCACGGAACGTACGATGGCCGAATCTTGCGGTAGTATGCGGACGCCTTGTCTTAGACTAACCTTCACAACGTGAGTGAGGCAACCTGCCAGGGGTACGAGCCGTGATTCCAAGTGAAAATGACTTTAAGGTGCTCCTGCCACACAAACATGCACACAATCTTTTTTTTTCTTTTCTCTTTTTTTTTTTTTTTTTTAGAAGTAGGAGTTTGAAACAAGCCTTGTCTTCATCGAAATAGAGGTAAATTATATCTTTCAAGAAAGTGAAAGGAATACGCAGAGAAAGCGAGAAAAGCAGTTATGCCATTTTTGTTCGGATAGTGCACCCTAGGAGAAGGCAGTATAAAAAGAGGCGCAGTTAATGGCGCCTCTACTCTCCATTAGCGTCCCCACATTCATCGTTCTCAGATAAAAAATAAAACCAATTGGTCACTGTAAATTCATGACCCGTTCGTCTCTCCAATTTCGGATTCACTGATGGATGCACTCAAGCACCAAGGATTCGAAATTAAGACACGAAGAACCCTTTACAATATATTTTCCGCAAGGTGTCGGTCATGTCAAGCAATAGAGCGGAACAAGCTTACTTTGTTGACGACGGTAGTCTCGTCATCAAACATGTACATCCGGGACTGAATGGACTCGACCACAGCTTCCGCCCATTCGTAGTACCTGAACGCCGGCTTTTCGTGGCAAACCTGCGGTAATCAATATCAACATGGTTGAAAAAATATCCCCGTCGTACTCGCCATCATCCCGTTGTGTCAATCCCTAAATCTGTAGAATAACAGTGTCATTACGTATTTACAGTAAAACACCGAATGAACGCCCACCCCCAGTTGATTTTCGCCTCTATTCCGTTTCCTTTTCATCTCTCCACCGTTAAAAGGCGTTTATTTAACATTCTATGGTATTCGATTGTTCCTTTACGAACGTTCACATAGACAGAGTGGCGGATCCAAGGGGGGGGGGGGGGGGGGGGGGGGCGACGGGGGCGGCCGCCCTTCCCCCCCCCCCCCCCAAACGAGGTCGACCCCCACGCCTCCCCCTTCTTGGAGGGCAATTTGACATGGGTGGACCCCCCGGTGCACAAAAACAAATGGGAAAATAATATCCTTACAAGGCTTCCCTCCCCCCCCCCCCAAAAAAAAAATATATATATATATATACGGAGTTCTGGATCCACCCCTACATAGACAAAGCAGTGCAATCACAGTGTGTTCTCATGATAGTTTTCTACAGCGTGCCCTCGAATCCAGGGGAAGTCTTTCAAGTGACTGCATCAATCGACTTGAACACTTATCATGCTAGACTTACCACAGAGGCGCCCAAACGTGATAGAAGCACTGCATAAAAATTTCAAAAAAATTACCTGAGTAAAAATTTAAAACACGATAACTGGTTATTTCTACGTGCTACCCACGCACCCTCTGACTGGCGCCACAACCGACAGACCGCCGCAGCGGCCCCGGCGTCAGCTTGCTGCCCGGTTGCGCCAAAAGCAAACGACATGTAGCTGAAATTACTTGAAGAACCATTGATTTGATTTGCTTTGTTTCCAGTTAATTCGTTTTATTGGGAACAATAAAAGGTATCATGCACTAACCAGCATAGCACCCAAAAAGCGCGCGCAGTTCAGATTTCGAAAATATTGTCTGCTTTGGCGCCACCGGGCAGTAAACTGACGTAGAGGCCCATTTTGAGGAGAGGTTCCATTCCAAAACCATATGGGGAGCGTTTGAAATTTAATGGTGGATGCCTCCGGCAAACATTAGTCGCAAGCGCGCATGCGCTGCTTTTTCGCGTGGCGAGGACGAAAGCAGGCGTAAAGGCAGAAACATTTGCAGACGATCAGCGTTTTTGGCACCTCCTCGCACCTTGTTTGCGGAGAGCAAGTCGCCTGCTTCTCGCGCAGGAGTTGCGGTGGCGTCAGAACGACGCTGAGCTCCGATTGGCTCTGATTGAAAGGATAATGGGTAGACCTCAATGCTAGATGTCTTGAGGTCTACCCACTAGCTTTGTTTCAATCATCCAATTATAGCTCGGCGTTCTGACATCATCGCAACCCCTGTGCAAGAAGCAGACAAACTTGCGCTCCGCATTGAAAAGGTGGTCCATAAACTACATTACCCCAATCGAGCAGTTGGAAATTATTGGAGGCAAAGATCAATGAAATTGCCAACGTCAAACAGAGCTTAGCTACCCTTACCGAAACTCTTGGCGCTATGCAGCGCGAGTCTGAAAGTGTGCATGACCACTTACCTGTGCTTACTGAAAGTTTTGACGATACAAAAATCGTATGCGAAGAAATAACTTGATTCTGAAAGGCTTGAACAACAGTGAAAACGAATCATGGAGCCAAACGGAGTGCTTGGTTTCCAACTTCATTCGAGGAAACATCACCCAAAATGTTGACGAATGTGAAATAACTCATCGGCTTGGTCAGAAGAAGCCAGCATTTGACACGACCAATCATTATCAAAATATTGAGCTTTAAAAGCAAATACGAAGTTTTGAGGAATGCCTTCAAGTTTAAAAATGTATCATCTCCAAAATTTTGGATATCAGAGGATTTCTCACCAAAGGTGCAGTTTGCTGTGGGAGTTTGCATCCCGATTCTGAGAAGAAAACATCAGATGTAAGCTCTCTTACGACAAATTGCGTGTCGGAAATGAAGCGTACGTGTAGGATAACGAAAGTTCTACGGTGATCCAACAGCAACACACAGAACACAGTCTGTCTTCCATGCTCCGTTTCTGTCTCCGTCCTCGTCTTTTTGTGCGTCATTTCTTTCATCATGAGAAACGCCCGCAACATGAGAGAGGACGTCCTACCGATTGACCCATTCAAAACTCACAATTTTCTCTCACATGTCGTAGAAATGAACCAACGCTGTCCTTTTTGTTGCAAACTTTCGCAGCTAACTTTCAAAACAAGACAAACTCAAGTGAATTACTTTGACTTGAGAGCCTGGTATTATTCCGGGTGCCGAAACGTGGATAACGTGCAGTGTCCAGAACACAGAATACGCTTACGTAAACACTACCAACCTTTCCGAAAGGCCCCAGCTTCTACGGGTGGAGGAGCTGTATTGATTGCTGTCGAACGGGAAATTCGCTCTTTTCGTGTGAAGTGAGATTCGTCTCTAGAAATATTATGGATTCGGGTGCAGTTGGATTTCCACCCCGCATTGATTGGCGTCTGTTACCGTCCGACTAATATAAAGCCTGTTGACTTCAACGAACACCTTTACACTTGTTCGAGCACAGCAACAAGTGTTTACTCAAACGACATTTTGATACTTTATCGAGATTTTTATTATCCTGGAATCAACTGGAAGACATGCAGTCCCTTCCGAATGGTGTGCATCCTGGTTCCCTCAACCAGTTCTTTTGTTTGTTGCAAACATTTCAACTAACACAAGTGGTTAAAGTTCCAACACAAGGAGGCGCAACACTAGACGTGTTTAGTCTCTAGCGCTGAATATGTTAATTCAATTAATGTTATCGACCTTGTTAGTGATCACGCCACTGCGCATGTATACATATTTTACCTTGAAGCGCTTCAGGAACTATCAAAAGCAGATTAATGACTACGCTCGCACTAATGTTGACAGCTGAAATGCGGAGCTAGCCTTGTTCTTTGACTAGTATACTTTATTTTGTTTTGGCACAAGTTCGTCAGAATTAATTTTTAGTTTCTCCAGTTATTCGCCGCCTCATTAATTGTCATTTTAAAAATATTATGCAAGCATATTCTGGTTTATGAAGAATGATTGTTTGATAAGGAAGAAGCGTTGTCTTAGAAGCGGAATGAAGGTTTAGTTTTAAAAAATCCCAGTTTCTTAGATACATCACTGATTATGCGCTGTTTATGCATTTTGTATATGCAAGATATTGAAAGTTACACTTTCAATATCTTGGTTTGAACGCATCGTTCGGTTAACAAGTGCATCATAATCAAATTTACATTGCAGCACTTGACTTCAACCTATGTCCCTAAAATCCATACCAAAGTAAATGCAAACTATCATTGGTTTACAACCAGTTTAAAACGTTTGCTAAAAAGAAAAAAAACGGCTATTCGCAAAATCGAAAGCGACGGGTGACGATGATGATTGGACCTCTTTTTGCGTGTTTTCGAGGCAAGTCGAAATCGAAGTAAACAAAGCTAAGAAAGAGTTTGATAGCACAAAACTATAAACCCTTCTTTGTACTGGCCCTCGTATGTTTTGGAAGGCTCTCAATTCGAGTCATACTGGAATTGATCCAGTGTTCATAGCAGATTATCAACGCCAAATGAACGACCTTAAAACAGCAGCTTTTTTTTTCAAGCATATTTACACAGGAAACAGTTTTCTTTCCTCCAATTTCTAACAGACCTGTCGTTAGCATGTCCCCTATCGAGTTCAATAGCGGTGGCTTTCAAAAGAGAATAGAACCACTCCCGACAAACTGCGCCCCAGGAGTTTTATATCATGTTTGTGATCTAAACCATTGCACCAGAGCTTCAACTTCGGGGATGTTCCATTCGATTGGCGTTCTGCAATTGTTAATCCCATTTTTAAATCAGGTGGCATATCAAATCCTTCTAATTATCGTCCCGTATCTCTCACATGTATACCCTTTAAACTAATGAAACATGCCATATTTACCAACATCATGGAATATTTAGATTAAATCCATTACTTTTTTCCTAACCAACACGGGTTCAGAAAAACATATTTGCGCAACACCCAACTCTTCGAATTTTCCATGATTTGTATTTTAATACACATGCAGGAGTGCAAACAGATGTTATGTTTAATGATTCTGCGAAGCCATTCGATACAGCACCAGACAAACGATTGATTTCAAAACTTTGTCAACTTAAAACTGACTCATTTAGAACTGAATGGATATCGGCCTTTCTTGGCAACAGAATTCAATCAGTCATGATAAATAATGCAGCCTCCTCCCATGTACCCGTTATATCTGAAGTGCCTCAGGGAAGTGTTCTAAGATCTTTCTTAATTTCAATATATATTAATGAAGTCCCATCAATCATTGACTCCACCATCCGGCTATTCGCCGATGACTGTGCGCTGTACCTTAAAATTGCATCTCCCAGTGATCACGTAGCTTTTCATACTGGCCTCAATAAAATCAACGAGTGATGCGCTACTTGGCAAAAGAAAATCAACTCAAGTAAATCTCGTCTATTAACAGTTACAAATAAGAAAACAACATCTTTCCCGTATTCAGTTTTAAACCAAGATATTGAAAATGTAACTTTATATAAATATTTAGGAGTACATTTCACCCACAATTTGTTCTGTAAAATGCATATACCGCACACAATCGGTGATGCAACTAAGAAACTGTTTTATTTTTTCCAGCGAAACATTTATTTCACTTTTAAGACAACAGAACTTTTCTTATATATAAAACAATTATTTTTCCTAAACTAAAATGTGCTTGCATACTATTAAATCGATACTGAAACTATTTAACACTACAACAAAAAGCTTTCCAAAACAAAGCTGAACGTTTCCTTTGTCACGAGTACCCTCCCCAAACACGCGTCACAGATGTGAAGAAAAACTTTCGACTAATATTTTAAGAAAACAAACAAAAAAAATTGCTCGCTTATGGTCTTTTCGTGATATTTATTGCAGCGAAAGGACTGGAATGGTCTCCCTGAAAATGTTGTCACTCTTTCAGATAGGATGTTGTTTAAAGTAAGTAGTGAAGAGGTTATTTTTTATTTTGACATTTCCTCGATGACTTTTGTATTTCGAATAATTGCTTTAATGTGCTTGTGATTCACTGAGTTGCGAAAAAAGCATCCATTCTTTCCAGAGCGTTTCATATTTTATATTATTCAACGTATTTAAATTTCTAGTATGGACAGGTAACTTGTTAACATTATTCTATATTTGTACATATCCTTTATATCACAACATCTATTGCTGTCTATATGTTTGCTTAGATGAATGTATATGTCATTAGAGATAATGTATATTATCCCGACTTCTTCAAAATTCTTGCTTTCACCCTCATGTGTTACACGCACGAAATGCATGTTGTAAGAAAAAAATTAATGGAAATCCGGGCTCTCTAAGCTGACGACAAAGCCGCTGCCGCCATCTGTCGGTTGTTGCGCCAGTCAGGGGGAGCGTAGATAGCAAACGGGCACCGTAAGCAAAAAAAAAAAAAAAGTATTTTTTTTAATGTTTTATCTACTTTAGTGTGATCGTAGAAATTTGCATGCGATGCTTGCACCACCTTCAGACACCTCTGTAGTAAATCGTTGTGCGATACGTCACCAAGTCGATTTATGCTCTCACTTTAAAGGCGGCCCCGGGATTCGTGGACACTCTGTATTGGCCTCGAGATCGACCTAGAGGTGGCGCTACGGTCGCGCTATCATCATCATCAAAGCGGGGATAGGAGAACGGCCGCCCCATAGGCTCTCCACGTTCGCGCGCGAGACGGCGTATATTCTTGCGTTTATTTTGTCGCATACTATCGGTGGGAAAACAATTATAGCGGAAAAGGATGCAGTACTGTTCGGTGCTTCGGTGAAGATCGAATCGTGTTGCCAAAGTGCGGCCTAAATTTATATAATCGCTTCTGAGGGCGCGTCGTCTGCTCTGGGCAGACGTTGAAAAGCATGGATCACCACGACTGATGCCTGTCTCCGCCTGAACTGGAATATTTAGGTTAAATATTTGTTTCTTCTAAAATGGATGTATCGGTTCATCAACGTGGCAATTAAAAAAAAACAATAAATTCCAACCCAGATAACACAATACTGGTACTGTGAGCTGAGAAATCGAAGCTTGTATGCTTTTTTTTTTAACTTCTAGCTTTTGCAGTAATATAAATATTTAGAATGAAGATAAGTTAGCGCTGTATTGGAAATTACCATGCTATTGAGTTCCTCTGCCCTTTTACTGTGCCGTAGTGTAGGTAACATTCCTGGAGTCTGAACAAATCTACTGCGTTGCGATGAGGAGAGAGTGTCTCTTCTTGGTGAAATCTGCAAACTGCACGGTTGGCAGGACAACTGAAACAAGTGAAACAAGCTGTTCTAATATATCTGCCATGACTGTAATAAACGGGTGTAACCGAGCAACGCAGCAATGTTCCTGTTATGAAATGCTTTTCTCGGTAGTTTGGGTTCACCCGCTTCAATTTTCTTGGTGAGGGCCGCGGATGTCAAGAGGCTCATACTATAAATTCCTGGCTAAATAATCTTGTATTCAAACACAGTAGACTCTGCAACCCCAACAAACGACGCGCACCACGACACAGACAGCATCGGCCGCAGTGACACTCTTTGACTGATGAGGGCTAGTGACCTTTACGAGACTTTCCAATCACCCTCCGCCCTCAGGATATCGGGACTGGACAGTTCATCGATTAACTTTCAGATTATTCAAGTAATGCTTTAATCGCAATTTTGTTTTGCCGGTTAATTGGAGTCTTGTGCTGGAAAAAGTCAACAAGGAGTAAAAAATGCCTGCTTTAATATTTTTGACATTTTCATTTCTTTTGTGGCACTGGCTTGCACGGTAAACCACTTCAGCGTGCTTGTCATTTCACAGAGGGTGATCATACTGTTTAAATAATAACTTAAAAAATACTTCATTTTAAAAGGCCTTCCCGTGTTCATATTTATATAGAACTCACAACGTGAAGTTTAGAAGGGGAATGCAATATGCCATTTATGGCATAGTGAAACTAGTAAAAAGATGTGTAGTTTTAACGTCTTTCACGCAATATGACCGGCGAAAAATCAGCACAAGGATTTATTGATTGGTTAGTCTATGAAAGGATAGCGATCAGTCGGGTTAATTTTCTAATCAAACCACAGACCCACTCAACATTCAATGCTTTATGAAAGCCACGGTTTGTGCGAGATAACAAAAATACGTGGGACCAGCGAATGTATACAAACCAACACACTAAGATTATGGAAGCTTCCGACTTAATAATAATCGCTTTGCTGAATTTCTACGCATGGGAAACGATATGACACAATCTTTAGTAAGAAGAAACGGCAACGAAAACATAAAGCATTATATAAGGAATGTCAAGCTCAGCCTGAAACGGGCTTGCGTCGTCAAGATCCATGCTTCTGAGCGTGCGCCCGTAGCAGACGACGCACGGCGGTATCCCCGCTTTCGCGCGTTTCCAATTTCGGCCGCACGGTGGCGACACGGTTCGATCTCGAGGCGAATACTTCACGGACAGGATGAGAAAGTAGTAATGTATTTTAGCCGTGCACGCGCTGCCAAAGCGCGTGCACGCTATAGAGGGAAGTAAGTATGAACTTTAGTACGCACTTCCGAGTAGGTGCACCAGGAGAAGTCTATGCAGTCCTGAGAAGGCGCGTGCAGAAGTCCCTGGGGCACGACGTACATGAAGACCGCCATCAGGATGGACACGCACGTCTTTGCCTTGCCCTTGCCCGACGGGAGATGAGGCATGAACGTCAGAGCACCCCTCTGCGCATGCGCGTTGCACAAGGTCACACGATGTCATATGGGACCAGCTGTATTGCTTTACTTCCATTGCCTATGTTGACCTACTGCTGAGCTGATGGGATTGAGGTTTTAAACAGGTGTTGATTTGCGTTTATTAGTCTGATATCTTACCTTTGTCTCGTTGTCGCTCTTTTCTGTTTTTTTTTTCTACTCTGTTTTTGTTTTTTTTTTTGTTTTTTGTTCTACATGTCTTTTTAGCGCGGCATGTTCCTTACAAGATATGTCAAAGCAACTAACCCATTTGAAAGCACCTCCAAGCGTCGAAGTACGACGCTGAGCCTACGTATGCAGTTCGCGGGCGTGTGGCGCCATCGTTCGGCAGCCTCGCCAACTGGAGCTCTATCAGCGGGGACTACAAGCAAAAATTTTGAAATATCACTTGAACCTGTTTCTTCTTTCACTTAAGTCTTTTTATGCTGTTGCTACATTTCGCGTCATTGCAAGATGTTATAAATAAGTTTTTTGTGTGTTCTTTTTTTTATTTTCTGATAATACCAGATTAGTTTATTTTCTAGACAGGCACATACGATGCTTTGTTCGAGCTTTCTGTGATGCGCAGTTCATTTATTCCCGGCCCGAAAAACACGGTTCTTTTTTATCTGCACCTCCCTGTACATTGCCCGCATGGAGGCAGCTACACTCCGTTTCACTTTAAAGGGACACTAAAATGCAAAAAGCGCTTCTTTCTTTTTTTTCTTTTTTTATCTTTTTTTATAGGCATAACTGGGACACGTATTTTTTTAATATTTTAGAACCAAAAACATATTTTACAATATTTACGCCGTTGGACGGAATTTATTTGAAGGACACGGCCCGTTTTAAGCCTCGCGTACATATCAGTGGTCCGCCAATTACTACTGGATTGGCTAGGCTGCTCGATCGAATATGCTCAGAAGCCTATTGTCTCCATTTTTCCGGCATCCGGTACGTCTAGTCTGGAACAGACTTGTGCCCATCTCAAATACTCTACTCAAGATACTGTATTTCAAATACGTTTTGATGCATCTTGGTATCTTGCAAATACTTTTAATTGAGAGTATTCGATACTCTATTTTAATTACATTTCTGAGTATCTTGTACTCATTATCTCAAATACATTTTTGACATTCCGTCATTTTCCGAGTTTTTCGGTATGAAATGGCGTGGGCGTGGCACGAGCAAATTTGGATCAATTTGTGCAGGGGTTCCGGTGGTGACGTCAGAACTCCGAGCTCTGATTGGCTCTGATTGGAAGGACAGTGGGTAGACCGTCAATGCTAGCTGCATGCCTAGCTGCATGGCTTTGAGGTCTACCCACTATCCTTCCAATCGGAGCCAATCAGAGCTTGACGTTTCGACAGAAGCAGGCAAACTTGCGCTCCGCATAGTCACTGACAGCTTAAGAAACGCAGGACGTGACTTATTATGTTCGTACTACTTGCTTTGTGATTCGTTATTCTGCTTCCTTATTAACTAATGCTGCAATCTCATTGGCTGCGCCTGCGGTGTGCTGATAAGGGACTCTAAACACTCCACGCCCCGCATTTTTTTAAGATGTCAGGGACTATATACAGGGTGTCCCCAGTGAACCGTCCGCTGTAAAACGACCCGAAAAAAAAAATATCGGCACCAGCACATAGAAAGTTGCAGTTTTCACCAAATTTCCACTGTGCAGGTCAGTTTTACCATGTGAAATTTCAAGGAGCAGTTCTGTTTTTGTAAAAAAGGAGAGCAAAACATTTCCTAAGGCCAAGATTGCACGTTTACGGACGACCGAGTTACCGACACTATTTACTTGTGGCGCAATCTACCGATAGGCACATCGAGCAGACGACGCACTCTGTCGTCTGCTCGCTACGGCTTTTGGGAGATGGCGCCACAAGTAAATAGCTTCGCTAACTAGGTCGTCTGCGAACGCGCCTAACCTTGACTTTGGCAAGTTTATTGCTCTATTTTGTTTTATTTATTTTTTTATTTTATAGGAAAGGAACTGCGCTTTAAAATTTCACACAATAGAACTGACCTGCTTGGCACATATTCGGGGAAAAATTCAGCTTTCCATGCGCAGGCGCCAATTTTTCCGGCGCGTTTAGAGCGAAATGTTTTGCGACAGCCTAGATGTGTTACCATAAGAAATAGGGAAGGTGTTTGATCTTCACAAAAAAGGCCACGAACTCCTCGTTAATTTGAGATAGAAAAAAGGGACAGCTGACCGGGAAAAGGTTCTTCGTCAACTGGAGGACCTTCGGGTTACGGGACTCATTGAAGGCCGTCGGAAACATGGCGATACAGCTGTCCGGGAACTGTTTCACGTGCGTCTCCAGCACAATGTAGTCCACCAAACTGCGAACAGAGGCAAGGAAATAACGCCACCGTAAATAACGGACACACTGGAAAGATATGGGTCCGTGCCCGCAACGCGTCTCCGACTGGTGCGTCACGCGTCCCATTCCGCCCGTGCGTCGATAGCAGCCCCGAAGTGGCGAGATATGACTTTCACAAAATCTCCGGTGCCATGCTGTCGGATCTCGCCATTATAGCGGTTGGACTTAGAAGTTCCGGAAAAAATGCACGAGAGAGCCGCGAGTGGCGCTGTCGTCGCAGCGTCCCATACATGAGGAGTGTAGACACAAAGTGGAGACAGCGCACTAGGAAATTAAGAGGAAAGTTTTTGGGCTATAGCGAAGATACGGAAGAGCAAGTCTCAGTTAAGAAGAAAGTTAAGGCCACAGTAAGAGATCGGTGGTTAGAGGGAATGCACACAAAGACGGCTCTGGAAAGCTATAGATTAAACAAAACAGTTATTGCCAAAGAAAGCATTTATGACAATTCTAGGGGAAGCTCATTGCTGTTTGAGGCGAGGACGGGCGTTCTGCGAACCAGAACATACAGAGTGAAGTACCAGGAAATGGATACAGTGTGCACTGCTTGTGGAGAGGAGGACGAGACGGCTGAGCACTTGATACTCTACTGTAAAGGGCTTCACCCTATGCCTACCGAAGACAACATAGATTTAATAGAGTCACTGGGTTTTAGAGACAGCGAAGGGAGAGTGGATTTCAAGACTGTAGAGATTACCAAGCAAAGATTAAGTGAATGGTGGCAGAAATCGAGAGAAAACTAGGTATTTCTTTATTCACTGATGGCAAGGGGGTTTCATAGCCTCACTTTCTTTGCACTGCGGAGTGAATATAGATTTCACATTTAAATATTCTAAGCTTAAATGGTAAAACAAAATGGCTAGGTGGCGTAAGCTACCGCCCGATCCAAAGGGCTCAGCCGTATTCATCCATCCATCCATCCATCCATCCCAACACCTAACTGCCAAAGCTTGCGTGGAATGTTAAGCTGGAGATGATCATGATGTTAATTTTTATTTAAATATCAAAATATCCGAAGATGGGGGGAACCCCTAGCTCAAGGCTCCAGTGCCGGCCACTGCTGCCTTGGCCCGCTCAACTTTAGACGACGACTAGACGACAACTGGACAACTAGCGACGTGCAGCAGGTCTGCCAAATCCGCTGCTGTTACACCGCCAGGATCGCGGTCGGCGACAGCGTGACACTTCTATGATGTCGTCAGGTTAAAATTGAGGGACCACTTTGTAGATCGAGAGAGCATCGTAATACGAGCCCAATATATCCCTACAAACGGGCAGAAACAAACAGCACATGCGCGAAAACCAGCTATGTGAGAGATGAAGCATTTCCACGTGCGATGAATGCATGGATGAATGGACGAATGGATATGGCGGCGACTTGCGCCCCCAAGTGGGTTCCATTAACTTCAACTATTTCAGTCACGTCTTTTCGTCCGCAGTGACATGCATCGCTGCATCTTGATGTCAACAACAATGGCCTTTGTCTCCACTGCAACCGACGGCCATTTTTATTTATTTATTTATTTATTCATATTACCCCTAAAGGCCCTCGTGAGAGGGTATTACATAGGGGGGGTACATAAATCGTTCCAATAGGAACTAGTGCACATTGAACAACATATGAGAATACTAGAAAACAATCAATACACTTAATAATAAAAAGCAAATAAAGGATACACTCAAAAACGAATAAAAAAACATACACTCACTCATTACACTGCAATAAAGCTGAGACAAGGTAAAAACAAAATAGTACACATTTGCTCTGCACGTTCCGGAAAAGAGGAAACAACAATGTAAAACAGCAAAAGTTTGATGGCATCAGTATTTTGAATTTGTTCTTGAAACTTCGTGGTGTCTTTTTCTGAGGCAATGTGCGATGGTAGATTATTCCAATCAATTGTGGTACGTGAAATGAATGACCGGGAAAAGGCAGATGACTTAGAGGTTACGCGTTTAACCTTGTAGGGGTGATCGCGGCGTGGAAAAATAACGGCAGGTGGCTCGAAGAAATCACCGTGAAGTGACGCGTGGTGGTAAAGTTTATGGAAAAGAGATAGGCGTGAAAGTTTGCGACGATGGAGTAGTTCGGGTAGCTCTGCTCGGCGTTTTAGTGCTGTGACGCTGGAATGACGTGAATAATCTGAAAATATGAAGCGAGCGGCACGATTTTGCAGTGATTCAATGTCGTTTATGATGTAAGCATGTTCGGGATCCCAAATGGCTGATGCATATTCTAATTTTGGACGTATTAGTGTGGAAGAGGCAAGTTTGCGTATGTTAGGAGGAGCCTGTTTAAGGTTACGCTTGAGAAATCCGAAAGAGCGGTTAGCAGCCGCCAGGGTGAGCTTTATATGGTAGTGCCATGACAGATCAGGTTGCAAATGAATTCCAAGATATTTATAAGTGGAGACGAGGTCAACAGTATTATTATTTAACACATAGGAGGTAGGAATCCGGGGTACGTGATTAGTAAAAGACATAAACTTTGTTTCAGAGCAATTTAGGGTCATTAGCCAGGAAGAGCACCATGCATTAATAGCATTTAGATCAGTTTGCAAAGCTTTCTGGTCATTGACAGAGGAAATTATTTGGTAAATTACACAATCGTCAGCAAAAATTCTAATTCGGGATGAGACACAGGATGGCAAGTCATTAATGTAGACTAGAAACAGTAGTGGACCTAGTACGCTACCCTGTGGGACTCCCGAGGTTACTGGTTTGAAGGAAGAGTTACAATTGTTAGCGGACGTGAACTGTTTTCTAGACGAAAAAAAATCTTTTACCCAGGCCAAAATGTTAGGGTGAATCTTAAGCCTGGACAGTTTGGTTAGAAGCCGGAGATGAGGGACACGGTCAAAAGCTTTAGAAAACTCGAGGAAAACAGCATCAACCTGGGATCCACCGTCAAGAGCTGAATGTATGTCATGAATGAAGCCGGCGAGCTGCGTGTCACATGAGTATCCTCGGCGAAAACTATGCTGATATTTATGTATGATGTTATGATCTTCCAGGTAGTTAATTACTTGTGTGTGTATTATATGTTCAAGAAGTTTACAAATGGTACTGGTTAACGAGATGGGACGATAGTTTAATGGCGATGAGCGTTCACCAGACTTGAAGATGGGAATTACTTTTGCGATTCGCCAGTCATGTGGGATGCAACCTAACGATAACATTTGTGAAAAAGGGCTGACAGTATGGGACAGATGCTAGCTGATATATTCTTTAGTATCTTATTATTAAAGCCGACATGATCAGAAGCAGTAGAAATTTTGAGTTTATTTAGTAAGGAGTATATACCCGCTTCAGTTATTATTTCTGGCATGCTGATATCAGGAATGAGGTTAACTTTCGGGCATGACGAGATGTCTTCACATGTGAATACTGATATGAATGCGTCGTTAAAAACCTGTGCGCACTGAGACATGGGAATGACGTCATTATTACTGGCGGTAAGGACGATATCAGGATGCTCAATAGGATTAATGACACGCCAAAATTTCCGAGGGTTATTTAGTAGCATAGACGATAAATCATGTTTGAAGAAATGACGTCTAGTTGTTGTAAGCAGTGAGTGATATTCCTTATCACATGTTTTATAGCGTAACCAGGAAACTGAAAGGGGGTCTGTTTTATTGGCGTGGCGGTAAAGTCTCTTCTTTCTGTTATTGAGGCGCCGAAGCTGTTGGTTATACCACGGAGCGGTGTTTACAGTTTTGATGGTGATAAGAGGAATGAACCTGTTGATTAAATTGGTAAGTACATTTCTAAACATGAGCCAATTATCTTCCACGGACCGGGATAAATACCCTTCCAAAAATTTATTTGAGAATGACAGGAATTCATTATTAATGCTATCGTAATCACCTGTATTATAGCACCTTATTTGCTTGTTGGTAGTTTTGCGCTTGTTAGGGAAAATCCGGACGCTTCCAGTAAGGACGTCGTGGTCAGAAAGCCCGTCAAGATGAGTAATTTCAGAAAATATATCAGGGTTGTTGGTAAATACTAGGTCTAGAATATTAGCTGATGTGGCCGACCGCCGTGTGGGATGAGTAATTAGCTGAACCAGGGAAAAGTCGAGAGAAGAGTGGACGAAATTATGCGATTCACTATGGCCATCCCTAACGGATAGAGTTGACCAGCAAATGCTCGGAAAATTAAAATCGCCAAAAATTATTAGGAGAGAATTAGGAAAACGAGAACACAGTAGCGCCAGGACACGGGTAAATTCACTAGAAAAGTCAGTATTTGCCTCTGGTGGGTGCACAAATTTAGCTCGTTACGTTAAGAAACCGATTTACGCCATGACTTCAAAGGGCTAACAATCCATTTGACTCACGCGGTAGTACAGGGAGCCAAACAACAAGCACGCCTTCTGGGAATGCCCAGCAACAAATGACACAGCACTAATATACTTTACCCGGTCACCCTAACCCCTCAGACCATCCACTTAGGAGGAGTGGATCACCCCCAGATGGGCACAAAGTGAACCATATGAACCGCACTGACGGAACTAAAAAGCGAAATCCTCGGGGAAAAGGACTGAATGAAGATGCCTTGGACGAAAGGCTTTAAGGTATAAAATTTTATCTCTCTCTCTCCTAAGAAAACGGAGCCGTGTTTTTTGGCCCGTGTGTATAATACATGGATCGCAGGAAGCTCAAGCTCTCTGAGAATGTGACGTTGACGTTTGGGATAGTACGCGAAAATTTGAGAACGTGACGTTACCCGGATCAAAAGATAACTGAGAAAGACGAAATTCCTCTATGAGCCGACGCTCACCTAAGCCTAAGGTCGTAAAAACAAGAAAGGCCATTGTGGACCCATGTAGCATCTATTGCAGTGACACAAACTTGTTAGCAAGAAAGAAAACAATATCCTTCTTCCTTTCTGACAAGTGTCTCTCACTGATATGTCTCACAAGCGTTCACAATAGCACGTTTTTTGTTGTTGTTGTTGTTGTTTTTTTTTTTTTCTTGTTTTTTTTTCGATATTAGGCTTAGGTGGGATATCGGCCAATAGAAAATATTCGTTCAACTCAATGGACCTTTTCCGAGAAGCGTTCTGCGCACGCGCGAGCGCCCGATGCCAAGCGGCGGAAGTCGGAACGAAAAATCGAGGAAATTCGGAAGGAGGCTGTATATCAGCGAGTAGAACACGTAACTGCAGCATATATATAATTGTGTTACACAAAAAAAGAACGTCGACGGGAAGGAAAACACGACGTTTGGGTGGACGCCACGGTAGCCCCTCTTTAAAGTCGCGTTGGGCAGGCGCCGCTGCTCAGAGAGCGAAGAAACTGGTAGCGTAGCTCCCATTATCGACTGGTAGCGCAGGTAGGTCACTTCCTCGATTTTTAGTTCGTGCAGCCACCACCTGGTGCCGTTGGTATGTGGAAAAGGTCCATTATCTTTTTATCCAGGAAACGCTGTGCCCTCAAACTTCCGCATTCTATCCCAAGCGCGCTAGCCTCACATTCCCATGGAGGTCGAGCTTTCTACGATGCCCAGTCTATTTATGCGGGCCAAAAAATAGGGTTATATTTTTTCGGGAGCCCCCTTTCGTTACGAACACGGTGTAAGAAAGGAATTTAGGTGGAGACACTCCGTCGGTGAGGACGACCAAAGGGCGTTCGCTTCCACTCTCGCGTATAGCGTCCTTCGGCGTAGGGGGCGCTTCATTCAGGGGGCCTCAGAATCGGCGTCGGGAACGAAGATGGCGGCCTCCGTCATAGGACAAATTAGTCGGTGAAGGTAGCTTTTTCTCAGTCATTCATGAGCTGCTGAGTTCTACAATGATGCACGAGTATCGCAGGTGCTTACATATGCAGTGTTGAAGAGTGCGTATGCATATACTTGCGTTTCGACTTTGACGAAGACGTTTTTTTTGTTTTTTTTTTGTAAATTTGCCTACGATGTACCCAGCTCTTCCACGGTGGACGAATATCAAGAATACTGCGTGGTTACTTGTGCTGTGTTAAAATACACACACATGTGTCTACATGCTCAGTGTTAAAGAGAGCGTCTATACTTATTACTTACAAATGTCTCCGTCCGATTTTTTTTTTTTTTTCAATATTTAGGCGTGCACGGTGGGAAGTGAGTGTTGGGAGTATGTGTAGCTCATGAGGCCTTACACTTTCGGGTAAGAAATTGTATTTCCTCGCATAAGTAACTTCCCAACGTATGCATGGCGCAGTCCCCAATCATTACATGTGGCTAAGGTCCCGATTTCAATTCGTGTCTCCCTCCACCAAAATTGGCAACCAAGGGTCAACGACAATCGCCAAGGTATCGCTCAATGAGGCTATTATCTGAAAATTTGTTTTAATATTTCTGAAAATCTATGCAATTAAGAACTGACATGGGAAGTGTCCCACGTATATACACTGCATACTGTATTTTTGCAATAACGGACCTTTCTGCCATATCTCTGTGCTTTCTTTGTAGCTTTGGCCGAAGCTTCTGCAGGGCTGAAGGGAGCACACTTCTACTCATTCACGGTGCTCTGGTTCTGCTTACTCCTGTGTTCTTACACCTTTCGCACGGTTCGGTTAAGTATATATCACCATCAACTCGGCAGATGTACCGCCTGTCGTAGAATGTCAGCCACCGCTCCCACGAAAGACTCACTTTGCGAGCAGTGCGTCTTTGAAGAAGTTCCATGAAAATGTTAAATCCCATTTTGCGGAGCTTTCCGAAGGGGCTTGGACGGCATTGAAGACAGGTATTTTAGGAATTTAGAGGAAATCGATGGGGAACCGCTTCTGCAGAGACCACTGACCTTTTTTGCGCATTCGGGAGTACTTTTCACTCGTGCTCCAAGTGGTAGGTCGTTGAAGTCAGGAGCAAACTGAAATGCTTTTCACGTACCCAGTCGACGGGTTGCAGCTTGCGGTCGGAGAGCGAGATTGCACGATGCCATAACGCGATGCGATCGGGGTCCACGGGCACTTTAAATAAAAAGACGCGCTTTTTGAAAGAAAGGTTTCGAAACAAAAAGCGTGGCAGACGAAAGCAGAGAGGATTTCCACTGAGAAAAAAGAGGATGAGCAGGCAGAGAAACAAAACTGGCGATGGCTCTAAGAGCGGACCAGCTGGTTACCAGCTGTAAAACGCCGTCACAGGGGGCACCCTGAAAACAGCGCCACCGGAGCAACTTGGCCGCGCGAATAAAAAAAGCTCCGGGAAGAGGAAGATAGCAAAAGAAAACCAATCGCTCGCCCGCTGAAGAGCGCATGGGATGTGTCTTCACCTCACCACCTTTACCTCATCACCTTTCTTACACCGTCCGTGATTACAAAGATGTTTTCCTAATCCTAGAGTGATTCAAGTGCAAGATGTGGTCGTGAAGTCGATAAGATAAACGTACTTTGAGAGCCGCCCGAGCTTGGACTTGAGAACAGCCAGATCCGGAGAAGAAAATCCGATAATCATTTCCCAACTCTTTGGCTGCGCAGTCTTGAAGGCCTGTTGTGCGGGATGAAATTGGATCAGTTCAATTGTATTGAAATGTGGCAGCTTAACCCTTCGCTATCAAGCGATCACAATCTAAAAAAGCTGGATCTAACTTCAAAAAGCAAGAAAACATTCGGGAAAAAACAAGCCCGTGGGCAGCCCACGGAACCCAGGGTTATAACTTATAAGCTTCCTTCAATAAAACACCTCTGTTATCTGCTAACGGCATTAAGTACACCAAAGGGAACTCTGACGTGTGTTGCGGTGACCATAAGGCAACACGGATAGTGCAAACATGCTGTTGGTGCTTGTCGGCACTTTTGTCATCGTGTATCTAAGCCATACGTAGGTCTATTAGCTGTTTCTTTTTCTTTCTTTTTTTTTTTTTTCACGCAGAATATCACGTTAACGGAAGGTAACTCATATTTCGTTCATTTTCGTGGTATTTTATTTTCTACTAAGTTTTTTATCTTTTTTAATTGCCTCGGGTAATTTTCGACATGATGATATTTCGTGCTTGTCCGTGGCGCGCGTGGCACGTAACGGGACGTCAAGTACGTTTAAACATGTTTGCTTCGTACATGTGCATACTTCGAACTATCTGCAGACAGTGCTTGGGAGACCAATGTGACGAAACGGTCAGGCAAGGAAGGAACACACATCAGACAGTAGAGAGGTTTAGGGAACCGTTTTTGCACATCCGATATGGTACGATTGGCCTTCTGGTAAGAACTGCGCATGCGCTATCCGCAAGAGACTCCTACGTGCGCAGTTCGTCCCGGAAGGCCCGTCGTACCGTATCTGGTGTTCAAACAAGGTTCCCTAAAACTTTCTAGTGCATGTCTGCTGTGTGATGTATATTGGCCACGCGATCACGGCTTAAAGGGATACTGAACCAAAATTTGGATTTTGCAAAATAAGCCCGCAGAAGCGTTGAACGGGATGCTAGGAACTCCAAGACCTCACTCATACATCGATATCTCAAACAAATTGCCGTATTTTTACAAAAAAAAAAAAAAAAAGGCGCGATCAAACGAAGATTTTGACGTCACGATCCTCTTGGCAAAGTTGAGAAAGGGGAAACGGCCTCTCTTCTCCCCTTCTCGCTTCGGTTGACCAGCTCGACGGGACGAAGCGAGGAGAGGGAATGAGGATTGTGACGTCAGATATCTCGTCGGCCTCGTTATCCGTACTCAGTCGCGCATTTCTTTTCCAAAAATACGACCATCCGTTAGAGATGTCGCTGTATGAGTGGCTGGTGTTTTTGGGTTCTGCAGCGTCCCACCTATCGCTCCAGCCCTGTTTTGTGAACTCGAAATTTCGGTTCAGTATTCCTACAAAAAACGGCGCCCCCGAAACATCGCGGCGCCAGTTTAGTAGCGTCCGCGTACCCAGCTGAAGCTAGTATAGAAGTGCACGTTTTCCGGCACGATCACGTGCTCCATGAAGGCCATCCCGGACAGCTCGTGTTCCACGATCCAGGCGAGCATGGCGCCCGGGGTGTGAGGATCGTTCATTTCCGTCAGGTTCCGCTCCACGAAGGCCTGAGACAGAGACACGAGGTAGCGGGGCCCCCTGGTCCCTTTGGACCGCTTGTGCAGGCTCCGCAGAAAGGTCGAGAAGCTCAGCGCTGCAAGCGCCCATGCGCGAAACGGGAGAGCGAGGGAAAGGCGTGAGCATTCCGAGTCGAACTTCTCACCAACTACACTTGAAGAAAAAACCACTACCCTGGGTCAAAGTACCATTTTAAGGCTTTGACTACCCCAAAAAGCGGAATGACCACTTTTCTGCAGGTTACGACAGCGGGGTGGTCATTTTCGAATCCGATATTTACGTAGACGCAGTCGTAACTCGTAAATGATATGAGTAACTGAGACAACTACAAAAAGAGTATAAAATATGTTCTTCTTTAGCCTTCGTGATCCTTCAAGATCCGCCAAGATCACATCTAGTGTGCAATTTGCGTAAATTGGTGGAATAAAAAGTTTGTCAGAGCGAACAGCAACACTGGTTGTAAACAATCGACGCTTAGCTTGACGTGAGTATTTGCAGAAATGAGGTAAGGATGTTCTTTTCGCCGTATTTTACTGTGCAGCTTATTTTTTTTATCACTGGTCGTATATCTGATCGTATTGCACCATTGAACACTGAGATCGAGGATCGGCAGGGTAGACATGCTCAGAGGTATGTGACTGTGTCGCCCGTACTGTTTTCCTCAATCTCGGACTGGTTGAATTTCTGGGCTGCACCCGCAATTGTTGTGATCTCCCGGCTGTATGTACGTTGCCCGTTAACTTTCCAATTCAGTAGCGGGTTCCAGTCCAGTGGCAATGTAGTAATTGGCTTTTACTAAATTGTTGCGTCGTCACGGACGCTATTTGTGCTGTTATAAGCGCCAGCTGGAGCCCGAACTCTCATCTCTTACGCCGTTCGTGTTCTTCAGTTTTGATGTTGTGCTGTATGATTCATTAAACCTAAACCTAAAAGTCGATCACCTCTGCCTCGTCTCGTCAGGGCACCCCAATACCGGGCCGCTGTACCGGACCTTCCTAGATGTCTCCTGCCGCCAAGTAGCAGCCTGGTCGTCGAACCAACAACATTGTCGCCTCTCCATCAAAGAATCACTACATTTCGGTGTGTCGGCTGAGCCTGTTGGCCCATCCTGTTTCTTCGACTGTTTAACTTTTTCCAGGGCAGAAAAAGAGCCCCTGCGGTTTTTCACGACGTTCTTATGCTCGTGCTCTTTCAGGTTTTTTTAGGGCACTATATAGGCTTCCGAGGTTAGTGTTCCAACGCTTGTGTTCCTTCAGTTCTTCCACGGCAGTAAATAAACCCCTGAGGTTCTTCACAGTGTTCCAACGCTCGTGATCGTTCAGTTCCCGTCTGCCCCGCAAGACATGGCATTTCAGACCCTCTGATCTTTTTTGCCTTCGGCCAGTCGCTCTGCTGTACCCGTTTTTGGACTTCACGAAATTGCATTGAGACATGCTGCCCCATACTCCGTTTACCCAAAGCTGAGACTGCAGCACGGTGTAAGATAATACTCCTCTAAAAAAAATTAACTTACAAAGGTTATTTTTTTATATATTAGTGTGTGTATGCGCAATGTACTCCAGATATGCCGCCACGGGTTGGAGCAGTGGAGCCACAGCAATGGCGCGTCGTGTCAACGGCTGACCAAACGAAACACACTTTCTGCCTGGCACACAAAAAAAAAACAAAAAAAAAACCCACGGTTTTGAAAACGTAAATGCACGCTCCAAGGTTATGTCCAAGGAAGCAAGCGGATTCGTAACATCCCCCCCCCCCCCTCCCTACCCTCCCTAGCAAATGCTAAAGCATGTACTGTGCTGCGTGGACTGCCCTTTACTTACACGACATCGGCGCCACAAAGCTCTTCTTGGCGAAGTTGTACTCGGCGTGCGTGTAGATGATGTGCGAGCAGTACTGGTGCGGATAACGCAGTTCTTCGACAGCCAGGGAAGACACCGTGCACAGCAGAGGGTGGGACACTGGTCGGAAAATGAATCGTGTTAATTCAAAGATAAAACAACCAAAAAAAAAAAAAAAAAGTTCTATACTCATTTTTGCGTGAAGCGTTAGAATCGGGTGTCAGTGGGCACGATGAAAAACGCCGTGCGTATTGATCCTGTACAGTTCGCGTTAAGGCCACTGTAAACACCAACATCGATATTTTTTTTACAATTTCAAACGACTGGAAAGGATTCCTAAAGCCCGCCTTAAAAATATCAAGATAAAAGACTGCGCATTTAAAAAAACGTAAAAAAAGAACAGAGAATTAAGACTGTTTACGTGGGGGAATTCGAAAACATCACTAGGCACACCTTTAGTCAGCCAGAACCGTGGATCCGCCGTGGCGTCAAGGAAGCCTCTTCATCTCGCACCCCGGAGGCCCGGGTTCCCTTCCCACCAAAGCCGAAATGTAACAAATTTTCTTTTCAAATCCATCAGCGTACTTTGTTTGCAGGTGTCGTGTGCCTTGTGGCGCAAGGAATTAACAAACAGCAACGTAGTTACCAGCAGATCCGAACCCCTTGGTTTACTCCACGCGCCGTATATATTGTCACGCGCCGTACATCCGATAAGAGGCGAGCGAACGCGGACATGCGCACAGGTCGGTTAGTATGAAAGATCAGTGATGACACAGCAGTGTGATAACACGGTCAGGATGACACCGCAACAGGAGCCTCCCTGAGAAATTAGACGTCAATCCGAGCATTTTTGACGTGTTTTTTTTACTCTTTAAGCCGTCGGTCATTTTTGGTAACATTGCTCGGTCACGCCGCCGACGACGCCGGATTTTCGTGTAATGGGGCATATAAGGCTTTCGCATTAATACATTTTCAAAAATCTTGATTTAAAACGCCCGCCCGAATCATGACGTATTTAGCAAAACAGTGCGCTCCTTGTGTTTTACAGCGAAGCTATTTATGGTATGGTTCCGTGGATCTTTCATGCGCGTCAACAAAAATTCGCGCGCCCTCTCTTTGTCGTCGTTCCAAGCGCTTGCGTGCCTAGTTTCCTTCCGCCCTGCCGGGATGGCGGTCCCGTCGCCCGTGTCTACTTTCCGCCGGGTGGCGGTCCCGTGGCGCGTGTCTAGTTTCCTCCGGTTCCTCGGGGCGGCGATAGTTCGTACCTTTGTTCAAAATTCTATGTCACGTCTGTGTCGTGTGCTAAAGAGCTTCGCTGGTAATCTATTTTCACGGAGTGGAATGGCTCATGATTTTGTTGATGACTTCTAACAGGAAGTGTCGTTTAAGGTTCTCTTTCCCTCTCATCATTCATGGGCATACGCACGTGCCATGCGGTCAACCGCGAGAGTATTTCCCGAGACCGTCCTTCTATTGGTTCTTCGCGCGCAGACGACGCGTCACTTTTCAATTCCTCTTTGTTTTAGCAGTGATGATCTAACACGATTTTTAAAAAAAAATGTAAGGCAGAAGACGCCGTGTAGGAGACCTAGGTGAGCGACGTGAGAGACTATGTCGCTAAGCAGTGTTGTGCACGTTCCTCAAAAAAAGGAACGAAAGCTCGTTCCTCGTTCTTTCCGATTTTTGGAACGCGTTCCCGTTACAAGTTACATCTGTGAAAAAGGAACTCGTTCCCGTTACAGTTTAAAAAAATGGAACGTGTCGTTACATATACGTTACATTTGTATTTTGCTAATTACTATATTTAGTTAAATCAAGTAGTGTTTTTTTAATCTATCCCATTAGTAGTCAACATACGAGTTTCTACGTCGTCATGCAAGGACAACAGGAGAAGAAAACAAGCGGAAGCAGGGTTTCATTTGTTGATATATTCAAGTTAAAAATCTCAGCTTTTAACCATATTCATGTTTGTAGTGGACGATTTAGACGAGCGGAGTGTACTTTTTTTACCCAACATTGTACGAGAGTTTTACAACAACCTCACACGTTTCAATCGAACGGAGTCCCTAGTTCGAACTTAACAACAGTTGCTTCTCGATGTTGCTGCCCGCAAGACGAGCAAGTGCAGGAGAGAGTAGGCCTTTTGGAAGGTCAGTCTTAAAAACTACAAATACTTCTTTGCAAAATTGGCTTTGTTGTTCATTTTGAACGTGTGGACAAGAGAAAAATAATTTTTTTGTGTGTGTGTATCTTTTAAGTGACCAATGTTCCGGATACAAGGGTGCGTTCGATGTCTGGCAATCTGTGATCTCGTTGTAACTGTAGGTCTCGTTATGGAAGTTCACAAGTGGCTATAGTCGGCCTTAGATTCTGGGTGTATGAGGATTCGTGGAACCAAAGGAAGTGGTTGAGTTTGAAACAACCCTCTTCCTTTATCTTTTCCTACAACTAAAAGCCTTGCTTTTTGTACCGCAGTTTCGGGCACTCAAAAAAGAAATAATGTCCACCAGCTCTCCTGCACCCAAAACTGTTAGCAAGCAAGGACCACACAAAATAATCCATAAGATTAGTAGCCAAAAAGGTAACGAGATCCTGCACTTTGTACTTTCAAAATTTCCCTGTTCGAAATAAAATAAAAATTACCCCACTGGACGAAAGAAAGAAAAAGAACGCGTTCCAGTAAAAATGTAACGCGTTCCTGTTCCAGTTCCAGCGATGCAAAATGGAACGGCGGCGTTCCTTCGTTCCTCCTAAAAGGAACGCGTTCCAGGAACGCCGTTCCTTGGAACGCCGTTCCGTACAACACTGTCGCTAAGGTGCCGTGTGGGGCTCTGCCCCATGCATTACTACCAAATCTAAATCTGTCGTGCTACATAAGTTTTCCAAAAGATGAAGTACAACATAATGCGCGCTTGGCTGCAATCCCCGAAGAACAGCCGCAGGATCCAGTCTCATATCCCCTGATCGGTTCTCATCGCTTTGTTGACAAGGACTATGAGAAAAACATCAATGTATCCAAATCGTTAGGAGTTGGATTCCGACCTCAACCGAAACGTTCCGACGAACTTTCCGGCATCACGCAATATTGAGACACCGCTTAACGTTTCCAGTGTCTTAACGTTTCGAAATAAACCTCACCAATTACGTCATAAAAAAAAAAAAAAAAACAGAGACGCAAAGGAAATCAATTTGGGGAGGACACAAACTTTAACAAGCTCTTTCACGCACAAAAAAGTCGCTATGATTGCATGCATGCGTGCGTGCGTGCGTGCGTGCGTGTGCGTGTGCGTGCGTGCGTGCGTGTGCGTGCGCGTGCGCGGGCGTGTCCGTGCGTGCGTGCGTGTGCGTGCGTGTGTGTGTTTGTTTCGCCGCACGCGCTTTCGAAATGTTTGAAACAGTAAAAAGAATATCGACCTTAGGGTTGTCAGTGGCTTTTTAATAGAGAGTTTAAGCAGACCGTGTTCTTGCCCCAATAACGATACCTCCTCTCCACCCCGGTGGCATTGGGCATGCATCCTAACGTTATTGTGTGTCGTTATTGGGGCGAAAAAACGATCTGCTAAAACTCTCTAATGGCCTTCTTCCCCCCTTCGGTGGCGATACTCCATTCACCCCTAAGCTGGTAGTACGGTGGAAGCTACGGGCTGACATGTCCAATCAACCGCCTCTCTTTCATCACCTGACCATACTTTCTGGGTGAGGGTATGAGAGAGAGCGCGCGTGCAATCTCACGCACTAGACGATTTTATCATTTAAACATTGTGCCATTTCAGTTTTAGATTAACCATTTTAAATATGATTTTTTTCCGCGAACGTTTGAGATGTGGAGTACCGTCGACGGGCCTACGAGCATGCTTGTTGACAATAATTTTATTTCAACGATAATGAATAGTTGGTTGCCCTAACTTGTGGTTATTTTAAATTATTATTTTTTAAGCTGTTTTGTTCTAAGTGTGAGTGGTTGCATCCCCACTTCAGCTATGGCCTCAAATGAGGTCGCGGTATGTGCAAATTAATAATAATATAATATTAAATAAGTAGAATTCATTATCCTAGTAAAGCATTCTTATATGCGCATCAGCTCATTTTAAACCATTGATCTGAGCGGCTTGCTCCACAGCTAACTTGTATGTTGCTGCGTCATTTTACCCACAAAGGGATTTGTTCTCTTCCTACTTTTTATTTTCTTTATATTTTTTATTAATACAGTTCACCCCCATTCACGATATTTACAGAACTGGAAGGAAAAAACATCATATTTCACATTGCTATGCATACAAATATAAATTATCACAACGTACGCGAGTACAAGTTGTAACAAAGGACATGGTACAGTTTTTGAGAAAGGTTCGAGGGAAAAAAAAGGATCGGCAGACAACTTAAAGCTAAGGCTCCCAGTGCACGTTCGATTCTTCAGACTTTTCTCAAAGGAGTCAACATTTTCTGCGTTCATATTATCACCCGGCAGCTCGTTCGATTATTTTACAGTTCTAACAAAAACAAAAATAATAATATTTATAAGACGAAAGAAAGAAATATTTATAACTTTAATAGGCGTTTTGTCGCGAGAATAAAGATGCGAAAGAAGGTAATGTATAGATCGCAGCGGTAAACTCTCCGCGTGCCTGCGTAAAAGTTTAAGCCCTCGACCGTGCTTCAAAGAGCATCGAGAGCGACACTCACCCTCGGGATATCTTGCGGGACCGATCACCTTAGGTGGCGGAGAGCGTGGTGCTTCCGTCGCTGTGAAGGAACAAAACTATAAATTCCCAATCACAAAAAAAAAAGGAATTAAAGATTTGATGTTCAGAAAAAAGAAAAGAAAAAAAAAAACGCGCTTCGCAAAATAAAATAACTCATGAACTTTTATTTTTTTTTTTTTTTTTTTTTTGCCTTGCACAGCAGCAAGCGCGTCCCGTTTGGACAGCCCTTCATACAACAGGGAATGCGACACACTAAATACTTTCCGTGCATATCTTTTCGCTCAGTACGGGTAAAACTCAACAAATGACAAGGACAAAAAGGAAAAAGATTTTTCACAAGAAACAGCACATATCTGCGACCATGACGTTAAGCATAAAGCGAGCATTTCGAACATGACGCTCTAAGTTTTCTATGGCAGAGAATGTTTAGGTTGAAACGATTTCTATCGGTCTCGTTCGCTTAATTATTTCTGAATGATTGACTGCTCTGAGTGGTATGTCGAAAAGTGGACCCACGAGCAGCTTTTAAGTCAAGACCGACGCTCAGTGTGCACCCTTAAATATTAATCACTCCCCCACCCAAACAAACAAAAAATGAATTGCTTTGTTGTTGTAATTTTTCTAATAAAAAAAAAATGCTAAAATTTTCTTTTGTTTATTTTCTTTGAATTTATTCGGGGTGAGAGACGCAAGTGAACCAGATATAGATGACTTGTACAAAATGTAGAAATGTAGGAACACCGCTTTAACGAGGTATAATTAAATCCACTCTAAAAAATGCATTTCATGTGCTACAAGCGCTCGGATTACTCCTCACCAATTGCATTTGTACGACTCTGGTCTTTACTTCACGTGTTGCGCAGCAAGCAGACGAGCTATTGTATTACTTTTCAAAGTAATAAAAACAGTCAAAGCTTTTATGTTCATTGATTTTTGAACGCTGACAGGAAACAGGAGGCAAATCATAAAACATGATACAAACATACACCGTTTTTATAAGTCCGGGAAAAAGCTCACCGGAGAAAAGTTCACTGGAGATGAGCTCACTGGAGATAAGCTCACTGGAGATAACCTCACCGGAAAAACGATCACCGGAGAGGAGGTCACCCACTTTCGTGCGGGTTCTCCGGGTTCTCTTTTGAGAGAACCCGGAGAAAACCTCACCTCAAATAAAGGATTATTTAAAGTGGTCGTTATCATTTAATAGCAAGTGCTATCAAGGTTTTAGGCGTCTGTCACGCAGGCGGTACACCGTGCAACAAAGTTAAAGTGAAGCGGTTTTTTTTTTTTTTTTTCATTTTACTTTAGGAAGGGATTGATCAGCCTCAAACTTTTATCGCACAAGTCTGTGCAACGAATGAGCAATTTCCACCGCATTAGTAGCTTTGATAACCACCACTAAAATGTAAAAAAGAAAGCTCATCGTTCGTTTATGTTGATAGTGGCACGCAGTGTGCACACTTCGGATCAGGTCGCTCTGCTGTGGGTAAAATAGAAAAAAATAATAATGCTTTAAAAAGAATCTGATTTTTTTTATTCAAGCTAGATTTAGTTTAGTGAAATCAGACTAATACCACTGTAGCTTGGAAATATTCATTATTTATCACTATATACTCATTTTTTAAACACGGCAGCTTGTTCCATAAATTCTTTTGATCATTGAAAACAATGCGTAAAAAAGAAATACTGCAATTTCAACAATTTTTTGTTCGTGAAAATTTCGCCATACTAGAACAAAAACAGCTTAGCTTTTTGTTAGCGAAAAAACTGTACTGAACATTTTTTTTCGCGATTTGATTTTTTTGCAATACATTACTTTCCTAAAGTTCATTTCTATCTTTTGCGTTCTAATTCGATTGCAAAACAAAATGTGACGTAGCTTACGAACTGAGTCGGAGGTAGAAATAAAGCTCAGCGCATCGATTCTCTCCGAAGACCACTGCCTGTTGATCGTCGTGATTCTTTGATTTAAATACAGAACATGTGCGCGTATTGAAAGCATCCCATTATAGAAAAAACCGTAAATAAAAAGACATATTTTTGGCATTGTTTTTCCGGGAAAGGCTTGATTTAAATCATATCAGTAAAACCGGTCTGATTTAAATCACAATTTAAGTCATCTTGATTTTTATTCTCCACCCTGGCTGTGGTCCTTATTCCGCGTTTGTGTCGACCCATTTCGCGTGAGTGTTACGATGGACGTAGCAGGAATAGTGAAAATACGACTCTTTTTTTTTTTCGTTCGAATGAGGTAAGAATTGAAACCACCGTTTATTAGTTTATTAAGAAAATGGTGAAATTCGAAGATTTGGTAATGCGGTGTCGGTATACTACGTAAAAGGTCATTTTACAAATAAGTATTAAAAACTACTCAAGCCGCAGCCTTCTACGCAGATTATATCCCCACTCCCCGGTTATTATTTTTTTTAATTAGCGTTACATTGGAATTATTCATTTCACTTTTAACGGGCAACACCAAAAACTTTTTTTTTTTTTTATATTGTTAGTGAAGTGCAGAATGACTGCGTAAGGCATCCCGGCATACTTGAGTTGAGTGAACGTGTTTCAGTGAATGCTGGAACCTTAGATTCGTATGGGAGTTTTTCTCCGCATCCGTCAAAAAGCCGGTGAGCTTTTCTCCGGCGAGCTTTTCTCCGGCGCCTGTTTTGATGTCTTCTCGCGTGGACGGGCACGAAACGACGTCAAATTCAAATTTGGGGGTTTTACGTGCCAAACCTACGACGGGCATCTGACACGCCCCAGCGGAGGACTGAGGATTAATTTGGACCACCTGGGGATCTTTTGACGTGCAACCGAAAGCTCGGTTACACGGCGCCTTCTCCGCAATAAGCCTCCGTCAGATTGCGGGCACCTCGGTCCGGATTCGAACCCGCCACCTGGGGATCCGTAGGCCGGCGCTCTCGCCTCGGAGCCACCTACGAAACGACGTCAAACCGTACCAATCTCAGCTTGTTGAACATTGAACGGAGCTCCCCATTTATGTGAGCGCACATTGCGTACTGAGAGAAACAAAACACACACGCACCCTTTTTCTCGGACGCTTCCTGGCTGGTAAACACTCTGGTCGAGTCCAGAAGGTTCTTCCCACTTTTCTCGTCTGCACGTCAGGTGGAACATAATTTTGTTCAGTCAAACAAATCCGTGCCGCAATGCCCGCTTGATCCAGTTCCTTTTTTTTCTATTTTTTTTTCTTAATAAAATTTGATGTTTCTTACACACAAGGCCTGCGAACTGGATATATTTTTCTTTGTCATCTTCCTCGATCGAGCGCGGGGAACGAATTGAACACGAGTACTGAGTCGGCGCTCGTTTGGATCTCGTATTGAATTGGAACTTCACTGACTGAACACGAGCACAAGCCGAAGGCTGACGCTGTGTTTGGCTACGTCAGCCTGTAGCGCTGCGCCAGAAGCACAACTCACGATGTGCTTCACGATGTGTTCCCTGAAGGTTTAAGCCTGAACTTATCCGCACCTGCGATGTGACAATCGTCATGAAGCTTAGCATACTCACAGCGCGATCTCTGGCATAACACCAACTTAGGCCGAAATATATGTTTAATGCAAAAGCATTAACTGCCTCATGGAGCTAGCCGACGTCATCAGCTTTGAAACCGCGCCAAACGGCTCTTAAAGGGGCCCTCCGGAGCGTTCTGCGATGGTCTATTTATGGCGGTAACTCAATCTACAGGCCCTAAGGATCCTAAAAATCGTAAAATTACGGTCATGCGCGGCGGATTTCCCTATTAAAATTGCTATCAAAGTCCCTGGCACGCCCCCCTTTCTGAGATGACCCCGGAAAACGGGAGGGGCATCTCTTTACGCGTCAGCCAATAGCAAGCGAAGGATTCTGGCGTCACTGCGCGTCACCAACGCGGCCGACCGCCGACCCGCGGAGGAATCTCTCGAACACGCGCGGACTGTCGTCAAGGGGCACGGACTGCCCGGACTTTGTGCTCGGCAGTCGTCGTTCGTCGCACCGCACCGTCGCGCTGCTACTGCAATACGCAGTCGCATTCCACAGATGACGAGGAAAAGTTTGACTCGTTGACGTGGAAGGATCGCAAAGCTGGCTTCGGACTCGGGATAAGAAGGAACACGTGTCCCGCAAACGCACGCGTGCGGACGCCCGAGTAGCAGACGAGCCGACGCGCCGACGCATCACCCCCTAGTAACACGCTTGCGGGGAGAAAACATAGTTCGCTGGTTTTGGAGCGATAATTGCGGACTATGTTCCCCGCACCACAATCAGTTTACGTTTTTTCTCAAGCTCTAATTTACAACGAGCTTAAAAAGTGTTGCAATAATAACGTTCGCATTCACCGCGAGATGCAGCATTTCCATTGGTCAAGTTTTAGCGATCGGCAGGGAATGGGGGATTGTCTTCCAAGAGAAAATTGTCCCGATATATTTCTTCTGCCATCTGCTTAATAAACGGTTTTGTAATCTAAAACGTTGTATACATATTAACTGGCACCTACTACGCAATATAACAACATAAACAGACGATCGCAGAAAGCTCCGGAGGGCCCCTTTAAATACTTCTCTAAGTCAAGCCAGCTCCCATTCGACGGTTAGCCACGGCACCTTATACAACGCTTCGATCCCTTTGCCTAGCGCGCGTCGATCAGGCTCCCATTCGCCGGACACGCAGCGCCATGGGGTGGCCGGTTGTTGAAACTGACGCTGCGCGTAAAACGACCGGACACCTCATGGCGCTGCGTGTCCGTCAGCACCAGTCAGCGCGCCAACACGCGAACAGCAAGAATGATGAACATGCTTTCACATTCACAACTCATAAGAAAAGTGCTTAGGTGTACCTCGATCTTTTTTTTTTTTCAAGGACGTGTCGCGTGTTGAGATTTTTCCGTAGGTAGCAGTACACGTACTCCAGATGACTTTTGAGAGTGAGAGAGAGAACGCGAAGGCCGGTTTTATTTTGGTCGCCGCCATGTGTCCACTCGGAAAGGTGAGCGCGTGCAATAGACCGACGTCACCAGCAATTGCCCGACGCCACCACTGCCGCAATGCATTCTGGTATATCTATATCGCCTCAGTTTTTCGGCCGCGCCATTGCGCGTTGTTTCCCCAGCGTTCGGAAAAAAAAACATTTCGGGTTTACACGATACTTTTAATCGAGCGTTTACTCGCGGTTTTCAATGGGTGGCTTCGCCTGATGTGTGCCGCAGGGCGCTACAATAACAGCACCGGGCCAAAAAGCAAGGAATTTTATGTCGTCCCGAAGGAAAGGAGCCCCCGAAAAGAGTGGTTCAGAAAGGCAAACAGAGCAGGACAAAGCGACAGGGGAAAAGAGCGATTTCGATTTGTTTCGTGATTTTCTTCATAATTTATATTCACCATATTGCACGTTAGCTAAAGAGTGCAAGATTACGGGGCACGAGACATTGTACGCCGTGCCGAAGTGTTCTGTACCTTGGGAACCCTGAGCACTCGCTCCGTAGCGGCCTATCTCAATCGGGACCTCCGCTCTGCTTTGAGTCGGCCCTTTTTAATACACTTTTTGCTCGATATATTTTGGTGGTTATAATTGTTATTGCGACGACATGTTAAAATCACAAGCGTGCTTCAAAAGGTCGAGACAATCACAGAATGTAATAATGCCCTATATGCTTCGCTTTTTTTCATACAAACCGTGAAAACATCCCATAATGCAATTTAGAAGTGCAGCACTTACAGCCAGAAAGGCAGCAAAAACACCACCCACCTTGTGGTGGTCTATTATGCCGGGATATGAATTTGGCTGGCGTTACTGATCCGTTTTGCACTAATACCTTTCAAAACCGCAAAACAAAAATGCTTTTATTGTCGGGTGACTGTTAGCTAGCGTTCGAAGCTTGTGCAAACAAAAATTTAATTTAATAAAAATAGTACAAATAACCTATCTCCGCCCAACGTGTTTAGGTGTCTGGCATAGTCGCTGCCTTTTTGACAGACGCGAGTTGTTACGGCGCGTCAGACATCTTTCTGTAGGTCGCTTCTAATGTGTGTGCAGGCTTCACCCTGCAGTTCATCTGCACCGTGTCACACAGGCAGCCAGCCAGAATGAAACGACTTTTAAAAAACCTATCGCTGCCCGAGAATCTCTATTTAGCTCTTCTTAATTTATCAACGATTAAACGTTGTGCACAAGCCTGGGTATTCAAGGTCCGTTTACCACCGACAAACCAAAAGCTGTTCCGCGGTGCTACACCGAGCCGATGGTCCAACGAATTTTCGTGCTCTTTGCCACCAGATGTTCACTTGTTTACAAGTTCAGTGAGACGTCCCGTGAGAGCAGCCGGAGTGCTCGGCTAGTGGCGTCAAAATTAACTGTTGGGCTAGTTGGCTACAGATTGTATAAAAATCTGTTTTTTCAGGTGGCCGTAGTGGGACCACCGAATGAAAAACTCGAACATGGCAGCAGACGACGAAGGGATTCTTAAGTGATAAGAACGACTGTCACTGCTTTTCTGCGCTTGCAGACAGGCTAAGCCATCATAAACAGCAAAATCTTATGAAATACACATATTACGGAAGAATCTAATCAATCTGAAAGCGGGGCTTCCCAGAAGAGGATGTCTGATGATGTAGTAGGCATACCGCAGCCTTATGCTGCCGGGAAGTCGGAAAGCGTTTACTACAAGTAGCATGGCGAGGCTCCGGGATGCGCGCGCCTGTACGGTTCGCTTGGTGAGATCGTTCTTGCTTGCACCCATGGAGCACCAGCGGGTTTTAAGCTATTAAAAGTAGTTTAGCTCCTGTTTGTTACCCGGAGCAGAATCTAAGCTGGAGCCATAATAAGGCTCAGTCCTTAATTCGTTGTATTCTTCTTCTCTTGGCCGCTACAACGCCTTTACAAAGAGGGCATGAACTATGCCATATCAGTTCTTCAGTTAATAAATGCATCGCATTTAGTATGCCAGCTGGTAGGGTTTTCCTGTACGTCCTTACATATGGCCTCGAAGTCACGTCATGGTGTGACATGACCTGGCATCACGTGACTTGACAGCCGTGCACGCATGACGTCACGTGACACTGTGACGTCAGGCTACACCATGATCAACGTGATATTGTGACGTCACGCTTCCATGGGATGTCACGTGGAACTGCGACGTCAGGTGACGCCGCAAGTGTCATCACGACTTCGCTTCACGTGACCTCATGTGCAACACCATGACGTCACGATATCGATCACTTCATGGTGTTACCTGACGTGCCAGAGTTTGCTTGCAACGGCACAGCAATAACGACGAACACCGAGAGGAAAGGGGGACCCAAATGCTATGCATTTCGAGCGCCCTTGGGATACACCGAGAGACAGGCAGACTTCTTTGTTTGTGTTTTCTGTGCTATTCCGGTTGATTCACTTAATGACGTTGTATACGGCTTTTGAGAATTTATTGTTTTTTCCTCGACACCTCAGCAGCGTTTCTGTCACCTATTCGGGCCTCGTGTGTAGCAGAGGTCTCACGGCCACAAGATTTGCTGGGACGCGATTCGCTGCGAGCCGCAGGCATCTGTGAGCTGCAAGCCCCCGTTCCCATAACTGGAGCGCTACATGCGCAATAAATAACAGTTTCATACCGTCGATTCATTTCCGCTCAAACAAGAGCTCTGCTCATATAACGGGTTTGCATATTATATATATTTTTAACTGAGTATTGCTTCGTTTAACTATTTGCTTCTCAGCTCTTTCTCATGTAAATAAACCGGAACGGCACAACAATTATTCTAGGCTACAAGCGCGAGCTTTGCACAAAGAGCCAGACTGGCTGCATAAACTCCCTCTCTCGGCAGGAGCAACTGCCGAAAATAAAGATATATGTGCTCGGGTTCCTGACCGTCAGAAGATACCTTTTTTTAAAATGCAAGCCTTTTCTTATAACGCTGCGATAAAAATTGTCAGCAAAGTAAAAATTGCCGTATAAGGAGATTTGTTTTCATGGTGAGCCTAGTGAATTGTGCGGCAGGATAACGACAATGTGATTGCTCTTGTACTATTGAAAACTGTCAGCATGTTAGCGTTTTCAATCTTATCACATCAGTTGAGTGTCCAAAATAGACACATGTGCCAATCAAAGAAGATGTCACTGGAAAAACGGCGA